AGAGAGAGAGAGACAGAGAGAGAGAGAGACAGAGAGAGAGAGAGACAGAGAGAGAGACAGAGAGACAGAGAGAGAGAGAGACAGAGAGACAGAGAGAGAGAGAGACAGAGAGACAGAGAGAGAGAGAGAGAGAGAGAGAGAGAGAGAGAGAGAGAGAGTGCTAACTGTGGGGGATTCAGACACTGTAGCTCTCCACCTACACACACACTAACACACACATCACGCTCTTATTGTCATGCGATGCTGCTTCAACCAGAACCCTTTTGAGTCACATGACCAACACCAACCAATGAGAGGAGAGAGAGGGAGGGGGGAGTGAGAGAGGGAGAGAGAGAGAGCGACCCTCTTCATCCTCAGGGGTGAGGAGGAAGATAAAAATATTCAGCCAATCGTGTCTCAGCTTTAATCAGAGAGCCAATCAACATCATCGACTCTTCAGACCTGGATGCACTCAAGTCCAAAACCATCTCTCTGATTAGGTAAGGACCAGCCCGACACTGAACACACACACTGCACACACACACTGCACACACACACTGAACACACACACTGCACACACACACTGCACACACACACTGCACACACACACTGAACACACACACTGCACACACACACTGAACACACACACACTGAACACACACACTGCACACACACACTGCACACACACACTGAACACACACACTGCACACACACACACACACACTGAACACACACACTGCACACACACTGCACACACACACACACTGAACACACACACTGAACACACACACAGGAACTGATGTTTACCTCAAAAAGACAATGTAGTTTAATGAGAGTCGTTCTGAGGAGACGGTCTGATCCAGATCACAGGACCAGACTGGATCAATCACAGCTGGTCCTGGGTCAGTTTGAGGTCAGTTCAGATCAGTGAGATGATTGGACATCAGTTTGATGTCACAGATTAAAACTCTGATGTCACAGAGGAACAGTCTGATGTCACAGTAACAGTTTGTCATGTTTCCAGTCGAAGTCTCTTACTCTGATTATTTTATGACATCATCAAAGACTCTGGTGAAGATGAAGTCTGACTCTGTTCATATTATTAAATCTGTCACTACATTATTTGACAGTTGAATGTTTTTCAGGAAGTGAAAATAAATCACATGCTAAGTTAGTTAGCTTCAAAGTTTCGTTCTGTGGAAGAACAAACTGAAGAATCAGTTTTTAATCACAGAAGAAGAACTAAACTCAGGAGCTTCAGGTCGTCAGGCAGAATGACGGCGCCCTCTAGTGGCCATTGTGATGATGTAAGCAGGATTGGAGGCTGTCAGGTGACACATGTCAGGTTGAGGCCGCTGTGTGTTTACAAACCAATAATCAATGTTTGTTTTATCCACGAGTTCAACCAAGTGATTATTATTGTTGCTATGACAATGGAGGTCTGTGTCTTAGAACTGTGATGTCATATCTTTAATAGTTTATTATTAACTTTGCTACGTGTGTCATTTCTAATTTATATTTGATTGTTATTGTCTAAAACAACTTCATCAATAAAGTTTTTACAGTGATTTTCTGCCTGATACTCTCAGAGTATAATAACAATATCAATTTATGAATATAACACTTCTCTAAATAAAAAATGCTGAACAGAACAAATAATATGGGAACCAAAAAAACATTAAATATAGGACATAGAAAAAATATTAAACTAGTTCATCAATGAGAAACACAAAATCTAACAAAAATAAAGTTAAAATTTCAATCAAATCTTTGAAGATTCTTCAGTCTGAAGGAAGGGCTTTTTATTAAACGCACACATATATGTTTCATGTCCTGTAATCTCATGTATAATTATGTCATGTAATATGAACTAATGTAATGTAATTTAATATATAATAATGTATAATAATAAAATGTATGATATATAATATTGTAATTTAATGTACAATAATGTACTATAATGTAATGTTCTGTAATGTATGTGATCTAAAATAATATACTGTACAATACAAAACATAATACATCTAATGTAATGCAATGTACCGTAATGTAATGTGATTTAATAATGTAATTTAATAATAATGTATAACCGGCAGGCAGGCAGACAGACAGACAGGTAGTCAGATAGACAGGTGGAAAGACAGACAGGTACACTCACTTGCCCACGAAGTTCTCCAGCACCGAGCTCTTCCCGGCGCTCTGCCCGCCCACCACTGCGATCTGCGGCAGGTCGAGACTGGCGTTCTGGCCGATGGAGGAGAAGGCGTCCTGGAGCCGGTTCACCAGCGGGATCAGCTCCTCCATCCCCCGGTTCCCCATGGCGGAGCGACGGGCGGAGAGACAGGTGGAGGCTGGTGATGGAGGCGGACAGACAGGCAGCAGATAGACAGACAGACAGACAGACGGGGATGCAGCAGCTGATCGTCTGTCTCACGGCGGGCCACTGCTCCTCGTGCAGCTGAGGAATCCGACCAGTCAATCGATAATCATTATCAGTATCGGTGATCGCGGTGATGACGGTCCTCCAGCTGTGACCTTCAGCTCCCGCTCCTCCTCCTCTTCCTCTCTGCTCCGCTGCAGGGAGGGACCAGCCCGCAACACTCCAAACACACATACACACGCATCCGGTGCACACCTTCAGAATAAAAGCTGAAGTGTAGCTAGTAAATCAAAAATGAATCGCACATCCTCCGATACTGGAATCATAAAATTTAATTTAGAGCTAATGAGGATTCACTGTTACAGAAGTCATCGATGAATTTAACTGCAGAGCTTCTATCAGCACTGATCAATAGCTGTCATTGATCTGAACATGGTTTTATTTACTGGTCATCATGTCTGCATCTGTCCTGGTGTGTTTATTTACTAAATAACTGAATAATAAATCTTAAAATATGATGGACACATAATGAGACTCTAAAGTTAATAAGTATAAAAGCAACAAATTATAAAGTAATCTATTACATCACCTGTACTCACATCTGTAACCCCAACACATCCAGGTGTTTAAGACTTTTATTATTGTTACCTTTTGTCCTCTGAGTTGTTGTGTTGTTGTTGTTGTGTTGATGCAGGGCTGAAGCACCAGGAGGCGCTGCAGAAACTTTACAGACTCAAACACTGAACACATGAAGGGATTATTGATCGATTATTGACAGTATCAGTGTGTAAAACTCATCCATTCCAGCGTCGATGAAGAAAATCAAGAGTATGAAGCATGAAGAGTCACAAACTGTTTTTACATTTCATTTTTTTTTCAGACCAAATTTAATTAAAAACAATGTAAATGTAAATAAAAACAAGCAGATTCATTCAACACCGTAGGAACCAGTAACACCAGTCAAACCAGCACCACAGCTGAACTGGTCTAAAAAAAGACCAATACCCAGTTCAGACATGAGTCAATGAAAATATAAAAACTGATAACCAGTGAAAAGTAAATTCAGCCAATCACCACTCAGGTCACGATCAGGTGTGAAGCTCAACACAAAAACAGATTCAGTTCAATCTGGACAAAAGGTTCAGACTTTGTTCAAACTGTCAGAACTTTATTTAAAACTCCAGCAGATTCAAACATTCAAACTGTCACTGATGTGGATCAAAGGATTTAAAGTGACACAGCAGAGTCTGAAGAACAAGCTTCATTCACTGTTTGTCATTTCTCTTGTGATTATCATTATTATTATTATCATTATAATTCTAAATATTATTGTCATTTAGTGTTCTCTTTACTCACTGAACATAAATACATTTTCCTGCTCAGACTGAAAGGCACTTTGAACCAATCAAAATAAAGTTTGATGGATTGAATAAAGAGAAAAGTTTCTGACGGCAGGAATTTAAAGAAGTCAAACGTCTGTTTGACTGAAAATCAACAACAAACAAACATCATGTTTATCAGAACTATTGACACACTGAGCTCACATCCATCCATCCATCATCATTCATCCATCCATCCACATCATCCTATCCATCCATCCATCCATCCATCAATCATCCCATCCATCCATCATCACATCATCCATCCATCCATCCATCCATCCATTTACATCATTCATCCATCCATCCACCATCCATCATCACCATCCATCCATCCATCCACTCCATCATCACATTCATCCATCATCCATCCATCCATCCATCATCATCATCATCATTCATCCATCATCATCCTCATTCATCATCCATCACACCATATCCACCATCCATCATCCATCCATCCATCATCATATTCATCTCACTATCACATCACATCCATCCATCATCCATCATCCCATCCATCCACTCCATCCATCACTCATTCACTCATCATCCACCTCCATCCATCCATATCAGTCATTCATCCATCCATCCATCCATCCATAAACATCACATCCATCATCCATTCATCCATCATCTCAGTCCATCCATCGCATCCATCATCAGTCATCCCTACATCTATCATCATCATTCATCATCCATCATCATTCATCCATCCATCCATCATCATCTATCCATCCATCCATCATCACATCCATCATCATTCATCCATCCATCCATCCATTCTCATCCATCATCATTCACCCATCCATCCATCCATCCATCCATCCATCCATCTCCATCCATCCATCCATCCATCCATCCATCCATCCATCATCATCCATCCATCCATCCATCATCATTCATCCATCTTTGGACTAAACCAGTTGAATTGCACTTAAATATTTAAATAATCTTAGTGTGTTGGACTAAAAACAGTAGAAACTTAATAATGATGATGCCATCATCAGTGACATGTGGTCATGTGACCCCCCTCAGACCAGGTTTCAGTATCAGTACCTGATGGAAAGGACTTCTGTTACAGCAAGATTTTATCCAATCAGATTTCTGGGCTCAATATTCATAAAAGCAGATGGATGTCCACATGGTCAGCAGGTGAGAAGGAAGGTACCGCCCACACCTGAGACTGTGGGGGAGGGGTCATATTTATTTACTCATCACCTCCATCACAGAGCTCATGTTTTCACCTGTCTGTCTGTCTGTCTGTCTGTGGGATGGATCCTGGTCCAGAGTAGAAACTGTTGGTTCTGATTCGGTTAGAGAGGCGGAGCCAGAAGCTTTCATCACATATTAAACACTTTGTCAGTTTGTTTGGATTTGAGGTAAAAACTCAGACATGTTGAGATCCACATCTGGATCTGGATCTGGATCCAGATGTGGATCTGGACCTGGCAGACGTGCAGGACTGTCTGGTCTTGGTGGAGGTCTACAGAGTCTGTATCACATGAATCTCTCTGCTCTCTCACCAGAGACACAGTACAATCCAACTAGAATAAAGAAATACACAGTGATGTCACAGTTGAACCCTGATGATAGTGACCTGTTCAGGGTCCTGCAGGTTCCAATTCAGGTCTGAAGACCACAACATCGATCAATAAAGATATAAAGATGCGTCTTATCTTAGATAGTGAGTCCACTTCCTGTCTGTTCCAGGTGCAGCAGGACTGCCAGGTGAACCTGTACCAAACTGCCTAGTCCACCTGTGTCAGCTGTAGCGGTCAGTGTATACCAGCCCCAGGTTTGTCAGAAGTACCTGTCTAGCTGGTCCAGGTGAATCTGTTCTGGTCCAGGTGAGTCACTGCTGGTCTAGGGGCAGTTTGACGAAGACAATGGCGGCAAGCTCTTTACAGAACTCCTCCAGGACAATGACCCCCCTCAGCAGGGTCAGGTACTCCAGCCTGAGGACACGCCCACAGGTAAACTCAGGTAAAGGTTCAGAGGACTGGAGGTCAGATAGACAGGTAGCGAGACAGACAGGTAGGCAGACAGACAGACAAGCAGACAAACAGACAGACAGGTAGAGAGGCACACAGACAGGTAGTTACCCAGTGTTGTGGCTCAGTCCCAGCAGGCGTCTCCTAGTGTTCAACAGTCTGTCCGTCAGACTGGAAATCTGTTGGATCCTCTGCATCAAGTCTCCCATCACCTGAGAGACACACAGACAGACAGGTAGACAGATGAGACAGACAGACAGACAGACAGGTGAGTATACATTACTTTTCACAATAAAAGCCAGATGACTCAGACAGACAGGCTGATACCTGACAGCTCTGATAGATACCTGTCTGTCTCTCTGTCTTACCCTAATGAGGACGGAGAAGAGTGACCTGGAGCAGTGAGACAGGTGTATGTAGGGGTTGAGCAGGTACTCATGCAGCAGTGGATGGTTGAAGGCCGACAGTCTGGACAGAACCGCCGTCAGCTGCAGGTTCAACTCGTACGGCTGGAAACAGATAGGTACACCTGCTGCAGGTGAGTCATCACACACACACATCTGCTGCAGGTGAGTCACTGAGTCACCTGGTTTGGAGTCAGACAGACAGGTGGTTAGGGGTACGACAGGTGGTTTGGGGTCAGACAGACAGGTGGTTAGGGGTACGACAGGTGGTTTGGGGTCAGACAGACAGGTGGTTAGGGGTCAGACAGGTGGTTAGGGGGTCAGACAGGTGTGTGTACCTGCTCCAGGATGCGTCCCAGTCGGTCAAACAGAACTTTGAACAGATGACCCTCGGAGAACTCCTCCCCCTCACCTGAGGAGGAGGAGGGAGGAAGACTGGGTGGCCAATCCCACGACTGAGAGAGAGACTGGCAGTCGGTCACCTGAAGGAGGGGGAGGAGCCTGTTATACTGAGGACTGTTGGAGGGTCCAGACTCTGGATCTGGGTCTGAATCAGGATCAGGTCTCTGGAACATTATTGATTAATCTGCAGATCAATCATTTGTGTGTCAATCGTCATGATGACGCAATGACTGACACTTCAAACAGGAAGTTCTCTAATTTACCATCTGATCACATTTAGAGTTTTTCACTATGAAACAATGAGATTATTGATCTATTGATCAACTGATGGTTTCAGCTCTAATGTAAACTGAGGTGCTCTCTGATGTGTGTGTGTGTGTGTGTGTGTGTGTGTGTGTGTGTGTGTGTGTGTGTGTGTGTGTGTGTGTGTGTGTGTGTGTGTGTGTGTGTGTGTGCTCTGACCAGTGTGTGAGCATCATGAACATATGACTCGTATCCTCCCTCCTGCAGCAGCTGAGCTGATCGAACCTGAACAGGAACCAAACACAGGAAACTACACACACACACACACACACACACATTAATCAGCAGTGTGATGAATGAATGAATTTACAAATGATCATTTTTCTGACTGACATTAAACTACAGGTGATGATGATGATTATGATGTCAGGATGTGATGTCACTATCCGTCTCTGACTGAACTCTGCAGCTCAAGCTGGAGTCAATCAAAGATTGTTTGTGTGCTAAAAGATGCTCCACTCTGTTCAATCAGTTTCACTCTGTTTCTGTATTCTGTAACAGAGTGAGATATCGTCTCTAATAAACCATCCAGTTGAATCTTTATTGATACCAGATCAATAAGTGAACCTTATCATCTTCTCATGTTTTAATCAGTCAGCTGTGCAGGTGCTTCTGTGGACACTGAGTCTGTCTGAGGACCAGGACTCAGGTGGTGATCTGAGACCACGTAAACACTCCTGGTCCTGTTACCTGTTGATGACATCAGCAGTTGATCCCAGCCCAGAGGGAAGAGGAGCAGAGGGGGGGAGGGGAGGAGGAGGAGGAGGAGGAGGAAGGAGCTGACTGTCTGAGAACAAGCTGTCAGAGAAGAAGGGATCCTCCTCCAGATCCCTGACACACACACACACACACACACACAGAATCTTGTTAATGAAAACGTCTCAGAACAGAAACATCAGTAAACATGGATTGATTTATCTGTTGGACCTGCTGCTCTGTCTCTGACGTTCTCTAAGGTTCTCTGAGGAACCAAGTTTAAGGACTGAACTGGTCTACAGTCACTGAGAACCAGACAGGAAGCATCAGAGACAAACAGAGAACCAGGTGAACACAGGTGAGGTTCAGGAGTGATGCAGATGTGATACAGATGTGACGGACTCACTCGCTGTCCTCGTTGCTCTCTGTGTGTCTGTCGTCCACACCTGCAGCTGATGGAGACAGGTAAGCCCGCCCCCGCAGATAACTCAACACCAGGACCTCCAAAATGTCCCTGTGAGGCTTCTGTAGTAACTCCTCTACCAGAGACAGGGACGCCATGCTGATCTGAGGACACACAGGGGGCGTGGTCACATGACGAGATGGACCAGCCTCAGACAGGCGTTCCTAATAAGCTGGACACTGAGCGTCTCTCCTTTATCCTCACCTACCCGTCTCCCCGTCCCTCATCACTACTGTGCCTGGACTCACCTGGTCTGAGATGTGGTCACAGCGCTGCAGCAGCAGGTGTGTCAGGGGGTGTGTCCTCAACAGGAAGTGGACCAGCTGATCCAACAGAGAGGAGGACTGGACCAGTCTGACAGCAGCACAGAGGACGGAAGTGGAGACCAGGACCACCTGTTCACACCTGGACATCAGACAGGACAACACCTGGATCACATGATGACGATGATGATGATGAAGACGACGAAGATGAGATTAAACTTACGTGTTCAGCAGCTGAGGCTGAAGAACATCCACCAACCACAACTGATGAACACACTGAGATAACTTCACTGACAACACCTGTTCACACACACACACACACACACACACACACACTGACACCAAACACACACACACACACACTGACACCAAACACACACACACACACACTGACACCAAACACACACACACACACACACCCACACACACACACACACACAAAGAGTCAGATATTTATTTTAAGTCATAACTGAACACAGTGAGCAGGTGTGTGGTGTCACAGTGAGCAGGTGTGTGTACCTGTGGGGCCTCTCTTATCAGGTGATCCAGGAAGTCAAACCAGGAGAAGAAGTTGGTCATGTGATCAGAAGCAGGAGACTCTGACCTGAGATCAGAGCTGCAGCGAGAGAACTGAGAACTGAACAGAGAGAGACACTGCAGTGTGTGTGTGTGTGTGTGTTTGGTGTCAGTGTGTGTGTGTGTGTGTTTGGTGTCAGTGTGTGTGTTGTGTGTGTTTTGTGTGTCAGTGTGTGATGTGTGTGTGTGTGTGTGTATGTGTGTGAGTGTGTGTGTGTTGTGTGTTGCAGTGTGTGTGTGTGTGTGTGTTTGGTGTGTGTCAGTGTGTGTGTGTGTGTGTGTTTGTGTCAGTGGTGGTGTGTGTGTGTGGTGTGTGTTGTTTGTGTCAGTGGTGTGTGTGTGTGTGTGTTTGGTGTCAGTGTGTGTTGTGTGTGTGTGTGTGTGTGTGTGTGTTACCTCCATGGTGTCTGGGGCCAGCTCTGCACCTGTCCAGGATCCAGACTCTCCAGAGGCAGCAGGGAGTAAAGCTTCGTCAGCCTCCCAGTCAGCAGCTCTCCCAGCTGGGTCTGATCTGACAGAACCTCCCCTGAGGATCCAGACTGGAGTCCAGAGAGCAGCAGGAGGCTTTCATAGGCTTTCAGACTGACTCCGCCCCTCTGAGGAGAGAGGTCATGTGACCTGGTTATTATACAGATAATCAATAATCACTGATTGAGTACAGGTGTAAAGATTGATTCCTGTATTAGTGACCTGTCTGCTGGACTAGTTATAGGTAGTTAACTGACCTTATCCTTGGTGAGCTGCAGCAGAGCCAACAGCAGACTGCTCTCTGATTGGACAGGACTGGAGCCTGATGAATCTGATTGGCTGGAGGACGCTGGTGTCTCTGTCCTCTGATTGGACACCTGTGTGTCGAGCTGTGATTGGTCAGAAGCTGGAGTCCTGGCTGCTGGTTGGTCCAGAATCTGATGACACACCAACAAGTTTGAACAGGTGGTCAGATGAACTGCTGCAGATTCCAGTCAGCTGATTGATTAACCATCAACAGGTGACCAGATACAGGTTAGTTAGTAAGTGAAGCTGCTCAATTAAGACTGTGATGACTAGTAAACAGTTTAATAATCATTTAATTGACATTAAAAGTTAAAAGTTAAAAGTCAACAGTTGGTAGATAAGACTGGGTAGTAGTAAAGCGTTGGTTAGTTAACACTGAACTACTAAAGTTAGTTATTAAATTTAAAGTTACTAAACTTATGGAACATCGAGACATGTTAAATTACTGAAGTTGGTAAGTAAAGAGTAAGTAAACTGGTAAAATGTAAATCTTTAGTGAAGCTGATTAGTAGACACTGTTGGTTATTAGTTAGTGAAACTCATCTGATGTTGCATGTCAGATGTAGTTAATGAAGTTAGCTGGTGGACAGTAAGTGAGGCTGGTTAAACTGGTTTAATTGGTTAGCTGCTGGTTACCTCTAAGACATATCTGAGCATGTGCGGATCCTGTTTGACTCTGGAGCAGACGACCAATAGGAACTGAGCTTCCTCCTTCTCCGTTTGGGAACCAGGAAGTGCACAGAGACGAATCAGCTTCTGAGAGGGGCGGAACAGAGGTGATGTCACAGTGACATCATCATTCATTTCTACAATTAAACCTAACTGAGCTTTATCAGCTGTTGTCAGAGGGGAGGGGCTGAAGCCTGTGATGTCATCATTAGTCGAAAAGGTAAAAACAGTAAATATTTGAGGATTGAAAAGTGAACAACTGATCAATTATCAATTATTATCAATCAACTGATTAATTGACTGAAGGTAAAACTAGAATCAGCTCCTCCATCAACCAATCAGGTTACAGAACACATCACAGTCTCCTCCTCAGTTACAGTGTTGAATAATGACCAGAACATGATGACGTCACAGTGACGATGACCTTTGACCTTTTGGATATTAAATGTCATCATTTAACTCTACATTACTACTGCAGGACCTTCCTACAGAAAGTGTAACTATATTTGGCATCTTGGGGGCGTGTCTACATGTAAATGAGCCTGTGTGAACAAGTGTTTACCTGTACAGGTCTGTAGACATTCACCAGGTGAAGCAAAGGTTTCTGCACCTGAGACAACAGCTTCGAGAAGAACAACAACACCTGCTGAGACATACCTGGAGGATACTGAGGAGGAGGAGGAGCAGGAGGAGAGAGAGAGAGAGAGAGAGAGAGAGAGGGAGAGAGAGAGAGAGGGAGAGAGAGAGAGTGTCATGGTGGACCAGCAGAACCTCACAGTTCTGACATGCAGAGCGATTTAACACCTCTGTGCCGTTTCCCCTCCGTCCCTCCACGTTTCTGTGTCTCATTCGCTCTTATCAACTGCCCTGTTGTCGACCAGGCCTCGTTTCTTCTTTTCCCTCATAACATCTTTTACTCTTCTTACTCTTCATCCTCCTGCTGCTCCTCTTCTTTTTTTTACACTTTAGCCTAGGCTGACCACCTTCTGTCAGCAGTCACTCACATTTCACCCTTTCAACCTTTCTCTCATGTTTTAGTAGTTGAATAGCTGCTCTTTGGGTTTGACAGCCAGTGGAGTTTCCCCTCCTCTTCTTCTGTTTTGGCCGGAGATCGTGGTCTGAATTTCAGTTGTGGTCGGCCTGTTGTGATACAGCCAAAGCTCTTAGGCCAATACCAGACCTTGCAGCTGCAGCTCTCTAAATCAGGGACTCAGACAGTGGACACCTCCAATAGGTTTACTGCTCTCTGCACAAACACTAACGCTGCTGACTGCTGGATTGTTCCAGCGGGAGCTCTGAAAGGTCTCTGCGATAAGCTCATCCAGCTGCTAAGTGTTCATCTTTTCTCGAACATTCCCCTCACACTCTTCACTCGTCCCACAAATAGAAACACAAGACATCTGACTATGTGTAATGCCACCGCTGACTGATAAAACTACTGAGGTGGGAGCTTTATTTAACCTCCATTACTCCAC